GCCTGGCTGGAGATGGAGGGGGCTGAGAGATTGGAGTTTGGCTGCTGCCAGCGCATCACTGCAGAGCTGGGCAAGCTGCCTGTTCCCTCCACTCCTGGCAGAACCTGGGATACAGCTCTGTCCCCACACTGGGCTCTGAAATCAACTGAAGGAGGCAGGGCTTGTTTACTAGCCATCCCAAGGCTGTTCCTGAGAGCCTTGTGAAGGGAAAAGGCACAGTTTCTCCTGCAGCCAGCAGGGTCACATACACAGCTGATGATTCAAAGTGTGTCAGTAAGGTCAATGAAGGACACGAAGTCATTGCTCCCCCTTCTCTTTCCTTTCCTCTTGTCAAAACAAAGACCTTCTCTTTCATGTGCTGTCTGAGGAGAATGGAATAATTTCAGTCAGAAAGGTCCTCTGGGTGTCTCCAGTCCAATCTCCTGCTCTGAGAAGGCTCATCTTCAAACTTTGGTCAGGATCTTACCCAGGTGGCTTCTGGTAATTTCCAGGTGTGGAGACAGCACAGTGTCCTGTGTACCTGTCCCCTCTCCAAGTGAAAAAGGTTTCCTTTGCCATGCAGGGCTCCATAACAGAAATGTTCAGACTGGAAGGAATGTGGATGTTCTCTGTGGATGCACCAGAAGGAACAAATGGCAGGGAAGGGCTACACAAGCGGCACATTCTGGTGGCACCTGGCAGAACAAGCCAGCAAGATCCCAGCACATCTCCATACACCATCTCAGGACACTCAGGATTGGACACAAAGGCCAGTGAGTAGATCCTGGTGATTTTCAGACATGGGACAGGATGGAGAGGTTCAGCTGGTGACATCCCTTGTCCTCCATGGCTTTGCAGGGAACCCTGGAGAGATGACTCGGCCTCAAGTGTTTTGGTGCCAGACTGGTGGGTACACACAACTGCTGTGGGCATGAAAGTCGTGGATGCAGTAAGCAACAACTTTTGTTTTGTTTTGATTTGGGTTTAAAATGTAATCAACTCCCAGCAAATTCCTCCTGTTATTTGTCAAATATCTGCATGAGCAGCAAGAACAAGCTCCTGAATCTTTGGCAGCAAGTCTTTAAGTATTTGCTGATAACTAACTTTCTCCACTCCATTTCATGTGTCTCCTCTGCTCTGCCTGATAAATTGGCTTCCACATCTCCATCTCTGCTGAGCAAAAACTGATTAGGAGAAACATAAGAGAAACAAACAGTATAAGGTTCCTGCCAGTTTGGAGATGAAAGGGTGCTTTTAAATCATTAAGAAAATAATTGAGGGAGGTTTTCTTCCTCCAAAGCAGGAGCCCAGATCAGCTTTTAATTATTTCCTCACCCCTACAGCCCCCTTGGGAAGTTATTTCTCCGGCTGGTTGAGCTCATTGAGGCACAGAAGCAAGAGCAGGAGCTGCAAGACAGGATGTCTGGGCTCCCCTCTGGTTCTGTCCCTGACCTGCTGTGGGAAACACAGCTCAGCCCTGCTCCTGATGGCCTGAGCCTGCCTGAGGGGTGGGTTTATGCAGCATATGTCACTGCAGCTGTGGTTTTCACTGACTGACCACTATGGTGCTCTAGTGCTTCCTTGTCTTCTGCAAGTGTCAGGAAGATTAGCTGGTGTTTGCTCAGCACTGGACAGATGCAAGGGGAGGGGGAAGGTTCCCTGCCAGCTCTTCCTTCTCACATGTAATTCTCTCTCATATTTTCAAGGCCTGTCAGGATTCCTGTGCTTGCCTTTGCCTCCTCCCGTCCTGTGGCCCTTGCAGATCAAGGTACCAGAGCACAGCCTCCCCACCCAGCATGACAGGAGCCTTCCACAGGAAAAAATCAAGGCTCTCAAAAAGCCCTTCTGTTTCACATCTTGTTTTTGTGTCATCATGGAATGGTTTGGATTGGAAGAGACCTCCAAGATCATCTTGCTAAACCCCCTGCCATAGGCAGGGACACCTTCCACTAGACCACGTTGCTCAGGGCTCCATCCAGCCTGGCCTTGAACACCTCCAGGGATGGGGAAGTCACAGCTTCTCTGGGCAACCTGTGCTAGTGCCTCACTACCTTCACAGTAAAGGATTTTTTCCTAACATCTAATCTAAATCTTCCCTCTGTCAGTTTGAAGCCGTTGCCCCTTGTCCTATCATTTGAGGGCCCTTGTCAAAAGTCTCTCTCCAACTCTCCTGTAGCTGTTTTAGGTCCTGGCAGGGCCTCTAAGGTTTCCCCAGAGCCCCAGTTTATCTTCTCCAGGTGGAACAACCCCAGAAGTTCTCCATCCCTCAAGCATGGCCCAAGCTCCACTCTGGACAAGCTGAGAAACATCTACAAAGCTGACTTGGCCATCAGCTCTGGGGTATAAAAAGTTCCCCTGCCAGCTCTCCATGCTAATACAAGAAGCACAATTCCCTTTGTCTGAGACACTGTCAGGAGGAACTGAAAGTGGTGACACAGCACCACAGGTGACACACACCCCTGTGCCACTGCACCAGGGTGCAGAGGAGCCTGGCTGTCGTGCCCTGAGGACATTCTGCAATGCAGGTGCCTTTCTCCCAGGGGTGACCAGCCAAGAGCTGCACCAGCTCAACAGCACAAAGCCAAGGCACGACCTGCCTCTGGCAGGGACATCCCATTTGTCTCGTCTCTGGTCCTGCAGGCTTGTCATTCCCCATGCTGAGCACTGCCTGCATTCATTGAGCATCTCCTGATGCCTCCAGGTCTGGTCTGAGCTGACAGAGAGTCTGCAGCAGGGCTGCTGTGTCCCACAGATCCCTTCAGCTGTGTGGGCACAGGTCAGGGTATAACACAGGCACAGCTTGTAGGAAGCACAGACAGACCATGTGTAGCCAGGCTGGTCAATCCCACAGCCCCATGGGGTATGTCAGGAGCTCTGGTTTTGTGGCCATGGCCCATTCTTGGCAGACCTTCCCCTCCCACCACCTCCTGATCTCCCCAGCTGATGCCCTTCCATGTTTCCTTTGCACCACTCTTTCTCCAGCCACAGAACTGAAGTGAGCATGTGTGCTCTGCTCCAGTCTGCAGAGAGCTGTGGCCATTTCTCCAAGCCAGCAGTGCCATGGGGACAAACCCTGTGCTTTTAATGAGCCTCATGGGGAATAACCACGGAGAGTGCAGAAAAACAGCAGCCAAGCAGCACCACAGCCCTGCACAACTGAACTATTGTTTGAGGAATGAAGAAATCTCATTTTATGTGACCCTGCATTTGCCCTGTTCCACTCCCTCCTTGCTGCCTGAAGCTTAGACACTGCCATGATTCATCCCCAGGAATAAGAGGCAGGTTAGCTCTGAGTTACTTCCAATCCCTCACACAGCCTGGTGGCTGCAAAATTCCACATTGCCACCAGCTGAACCAGCTGCTGCTGGGTGTTGAGCCAGACTCTGAGGCTCCTCTATGTTGCAGATCAGCAGGGCTGTGGGGCAGGGGTGCCCTCAGAGCAGAGAGGGGCAGGAATACAAAACCAGCAGCATTGCTTCAGGAGAGCATCACATATCTGGCTGCAGTGGGGAAAAGGGGATGAATAACTGGACTTGCTTCCAGCTAAAGGCTGGCTTCAGTGAAGAGCATTTGACTTCATGCCAACCCCAGAGCCAGCAGATCTTTAGGGGAAAAAAAGCAACCCAAAAACAAAAGTTCAAAGTGAAGCATTCCTGTACTTGGAGGGAGGTTTTATGAGGCCTTGACTCACAGGATTTTTTTAAACCTTATCCTTAGCATAACCAAAAGGAGGGCAGGAGTCTCAGCAGGTGAGGGGACCTTCATCTGGCCAAACAGTTCTGAAAGCTTTCTGTCAAGGAGGATTCTCAGGTGACCCAGCCGTGAGCAATCTCTTCCCATGCTGGAGCCTCTGCTGGGGCAAGGCTCCTGCTGCTGCCAAACTTCCCAGCTTCAACACAGGACAGCAGTTTGAGGAATCAAGGAGAATTTATGCATCCATCTCCTCGCCCTCTGAGTTCTGGTCATGCTTCTGATTAAGCATTGTCTCCTTGAAGCCCAGGTTTCCCTCACCAAACACCTCTCTGGTGCTCTGTTCTGTATGTGCACATCCCAGTGCCAAGGGAGCAGCTTGGGAAGGGGGCCAGCAAACATGGGGGTGGGCAGGATCCCTGCATGCTTTTCTTGCAGGGAAACAGGTGTGCTGCAGGCAGAGACATTGCACATCTACATCTCTCCCTCATTTCACGCACCTCTTTCACTCAGCTGTTTGAGATCAGCGCAAGGACAAGGCATGAGGATGGCTTCCTCTAAGTCAGTCTCTCCAAATGTGTGTGCACAGGAAACAGAGATTTTGTAAGCAATGCTGCAGAGCACCTCCTGGCCATGTAACATACTCACAAAGCTTCTCATGACTCTGGCTAAGAGGGACCAGTGACCAGCATCTGGTTCAGAAGTCACAGGGTTTAAGGCACATGGAATGAACAGTGCTCAGCAATCCACCCTATTGCAAAACCCAGCACTGACCACTTCTGCCAAGCCCGCAATTTCCTTTTGTGCAATAATTTTGCTGTGTTGATTTGGAGATTTCCAGCAATGGAGAACCTACTGTGCACCAGCTACCACAGGTGTCTGTTCACAGTGGTCTGCAGCCTGCACCAGTTAAAGCCAGGAGGGCATCAGACTGACTGAACACATCGGGCCCATGCTCCACATCACTGGATGGGGTTTGGTTTTCCCAGTGGGACTGAAGTGTTGTTCATCCCTTGGAAAGTCTTTTGCATCTCATCCAGGTCAGCTCCTTCTTTTCTGAACTTCATTGCTGCTTTGGGCATAACTGTGTCTCACCATCCACAGTGGCCAAGAACAGCTGTGCTCTGTTCCCTGTTCTGATGCCCCTGATTCCCCTCAAGGTTATGTTACACAAGATCTTCTCAGATGTTCAAAAACCAAGAGCCACATCAGGGCCAGGAAAGACCAAATCAACATCTGCTGGACAATTTTCTCTCAAAGAAATCACAGTGAGGGTGCAGGACATACACACAGGACATGTAGATGTTATTATCTGGGTGTACTTTTATTAAGACTCAACATCACATGCTCTCATAGTCTCCACTGACCCCCAGCACATTTTTGGTGATGCTGGTAGTGCCAGCAGCCTGGGATCTCAGTTCCAGTCATCCTGCCTTCTTGCAGGCCCATGGGTAGAGGCAGGTAATCTGTCCCCAGATCACCTCATCCTTTCAGCCAGGGGCTGCTTTAAGCTGGGGGACAACCACTTTCATGGCATTCAGGTCCAGTGTGCAACTTCTTCTCTCCAGGAGCATTAGATCCCTGGAGACACTCTGGGCAACGGAGGTGCCCCATGGTGGAGATGTAGGGGGTGTGGAAAGCCAGGATATGCCTTATCCTCAAGTCAAACCCCAGAAAAGCAGGTTGTTGAATCCCTGTGAAAACCCACCACCAAGCACTGACAAACCCAAACCCCTTAGGAACCTTTTGCATGATCTCACTGACCAACAAACTGCTGACCTCACCCCCATTCCCATCTCAGACATCCCTGTGGCCACTCCATCTCTGCTCTAACCAGGGTTTTCTGACTGAAGTCAAACCTCCTCCCCAGCATTCTGTGCCGTCAGAGAAGCCATTTTGCCTTTCAGCTGCCAATTTCATGCGAATCTTTGATTTGCCAGCACCTGCCAGGTGGGACACGGCAGGATCCCTGAGCAGTGCAAGAGCCGCAGGGATGATCCACGCAATGCCTGAGCTGCAACCGGATCTGGAGGGAGAACGCTAGCCTGTGAGATCTGACACGCTCACAACAAACCCAGCTGGCTGGCACACACACCAAGCCCAAAACACCCCAGGCCACCCCCCTCCTACCCTTCTGATACCATCACACCCCTCAGCAGTTAATTAAAAAAGGATTAAAGCAAGGCTGTAAGGACGTGGGCGATGCTGAGGTCAAGGGGTGCCTTGCAAACCTACGCCAAGCCCCGCAGCTGGTGCTGGGACAGGGGGCTGCCTGCTGGTGAATTCAGCTTCTCCAAGAATAAGGCAGGTCTAATCCAAGACCCAGCAACGTATCCGGGCTGCTTGCCTGTGGCAGTGCTGCTCTGCACAGAGAGCTGCAGGGCAAGGATTGGGATGAGGGATGTGGGAGCCTGCAGGGTAAGAGAGCAAGCAGTTATGGCTTGTTTGCCAGTGCTTCCATGCTGTCCTGCTGGCCCTTCCACAGCTCATACCTTTACCCCACATGAGCCACGTGCACTCATCCCAACCCTGGCAGTGAGGTTCATCTCGTGCAAGCAGCTCTGTCACAACAGTACAGGCTGTTCCTACCTGCTCCCTGTTTCCGAAAATATTAATGTTTCACCAGGGCAGCGCTCAGAGGCTTTTTCCAGCCAGAGTGATGCCAGGTAGATAGGTCCTTCCCACATCCAGCCTCATAGAAAGCCCTGGGAATATGTGTGTGGATGAGGCACAATGCCAAAGAGTCCCTCATCTTACCTGGCTGAGATACCATGATCATGGATGGCTGGAAGTCACCTCTGCAGGGGGATTAACACTGGGGTTAAAGCTTCAGTATCAGTAAGTCACACCTTCAAGGGGGGACATTTTTTCACAAGAAGGTGGAAAACACCCTGGCTGACTCTGAGGACACTCCTATGCTGTTCAAAGGTCTTTGGGAGCAGACTCCATGACATACCTGGGAAGCTCCCACAGGGAGAGAAGCAGAGGGCAAAGCTCAGCAGGAAGGGTCAGGGGAATTAGAGACTGTGGAAGATGCAATTTGCTGGCACAAGGCAACAGGTCCAGGTCTGAAACTCACCCCTGAAGAAGAGATGTCTCAGGCTGGTGATGGACTGCACCAACATTCCTGATGGGAACCCTCTCAGCTTGTAATCTCTGCATGGAGAACTGTCCCTGCAGGACACAAGTTGGCTCCTCAGCAGCAGATCCATGTCCCACCCAAGCCTATAACATGGGGCCAGAGCCTGCAGGGAAGACAGGTGAGTCCATGGTACATTAAGACCTCCCCACTTCACCCAAATCACTCTCATGTCCCTCAATGCATTTTTTTTTTTGGTTCAGCCCCAAACCCACCGCTTTCAGAGTGACTTGGCCATAACAAGCCTGGAGAGCTCAATAAAGTTCTTCATGGTCTTTTTACCACTTTCTTCTATGAAAACTGCCTAAGGGCCTCCTGCTCCCTGGAGCCAGCTGCTCCATGCAGGACCTGACCACTTTTTATGTCCTAAGTGCTCCCAGTCAAAGAATCACAGAATGGTTTGGGTTGGAAGGGACCTTCAAGATCATCTCATTACAACCCCCTGCCATGGGCAGGGGCACTTTCCACGAGACCAGGTTGCTCATGGCTCCATCCAGTCAGACCTGGAACACTTCCAGGGATGGAGCAGCCACAGCTTCTCTGGACAACCTGTGTGAGTCCCAGTGACCTCAGTAATAGCTGCTGTCCCCTAACCAACCCATGCTACTGTCACCCAGCCTTAAAAAGTTTCTTCCCTCATTACCTTGCACTTGCCAGAGAAGGGCTGATTCATCCATTCTCTGCCTCAGGCATCCCACTCAGCCACTGATGATTGAGTTACTTAACAATTAAGCAGAGCCTTAAATCTTTGCAGCACTTAACATGTATTGACTAATTAATCCAAGCTTTATCTGAGGTAGGTTAGTTCAGTCTTGTGTGTAGCTTCCAAACATGCCCACGGCCGCCTCATTGGTCAAAGGCAGAAGCAGTTCTGCAGAGATGATGGGAGGTCCATCATTCCCACTGCCCACCCTTCGAAGAAGGACCCATGTAGCACTGCCCTTCTGTGCTGTGACTTCAGAGATCACTGGGCCCAGGGGACCATGTCCCCAGCACAGAACTCTTGCCAAGCTTGTCCTCAAGTGGCCTTTTCTCCTGCATCTTCTCTGGTGCTCCATGATTGCTTCATTCTCTGCTCTCCCACCCAGTGGGGCTCTGGGCACATCCACCAGCTGAAGCCAATTTGCTTGGACAAGCACCAAGTTGCCCGAGGCTCTGCCAGACCTCGAGTGCAGGTGGGATAAACCTTCCCCTGGGGTCTGGCTGGCAGCCATCCATGAGTTCTGCTGACGCAGGAGAACAAACCTGGCCTTAGGACAGTGACAGGTGAGCACAGCACAGCACTCTGCTGCATCCTGCTGAAGTGACACCAGGGGAGCCAGGCTTCCCCCTCAGCCTATTCACAGGGACTGTCTCAGCCACATCAAACCCCACATTCCAGTCTCACTGTCAGCAGGGAACAAGGCCAGGTGTGGAAGGCAAGGAACCCGTTCCCTGCATGGATGAGCTGCACAGGAACTTTGTGCAGATGAGAGGGATGGGGAGGTACAGGGACACACCCAGGGTTCTCCAGAGAGTCCCTGAGAGAGGTCAGTGCCTCAGTGGCTCCTAGTCCTGGGCTTTGAGAGAGGAAAAGGGAAGGGGTTGGCAGTAGCTAAAACCAGGGAGCTGGGGACCTGAGCTGGGTTCCCAGCCACACAAGCCCGGGGACCTGATCCTGAGAAAATCATTTCATTTTCCTCCAGTGCAGTCACTCTAGTTCCAAGATTAAAGGAATGCCTTGTTCCTTTTGCCCCACAGGTTCCCAACCATTAGCTAAGACCAAGAGAGACATCAAAACTCTTGCCATACCATGAGCCTCTTGCACTGGAGCACAGGATCCCCCCAGCACAACAATAGAGACCCAGAGATAGAAGACTCTCTTTGACATAACACTGACACCAAAATATTTCAGCCCATCTGAGTCCTCTGAGCACCTCTTACCCTTTTTCTGCCTCCCTGTCACCCCAGGGTTTCAGCTCAGTGATATCCCCAGTCTGACAGGCAGGTGATGAGCCTTGAGAGACGCTTGATGTGAAGGACATGGCAGAAGAAAGGGACTTTGTGAACCTGGGGAGTCATGGAGCAGCCAGGTGGAAGAGAGCTTAATCCGAACAACCTCACTCAGGAAAGCCAGGACCAGTGGAGTCTGGATCTGCCCAGCCCATGTGGAGCCTGTAACAGCAAGGTGCTGGTTTGAGTCAAAAGGCATCAGCCTGCAGGTTATAAAAGCATCTCTGCTGCTTCTAAGGGTGCCCTTCACATGCCCTCCACCTCATGTGGCTAAGGATGGGTTCCTGCCTACCCCATGGATATCACCACCATTTGCTTGCTTTTTAACACATCTAACAACAACAAATGCAGAGGAGAAACTCCTCTCCCTATGAAATTCATCCCAGAAAATCCTGAGTAGTAAAGCAGAGCAACTTGTGGACCAACTCTTTTCCTCTGGGTCTTAAACCATCACTTTTTTTTTTTTTTTTTTTTTTCTTGACTGAATATGTGCTGATCTCATTCATCCTGGGAAAAGCACGGGGTGTTCTCATCCCGGCTATACCTGGCAAGCTGCACACAGTGACAGAGGGAGCGAACTTCTGATCAGGCTCTGCAGTGGCTGCTGCCCAGCTTCTTGTGGCTCTTTCCTGGAGCGAGAGGCCGGCTTCTTCACCTGGCATTCCTGGGAGAGATGAAGGGTAAGTCAGCAAATCAGCTTCATGCACTGCAGACATCCTCTGCTTTCAGCCATAGCAGAATTAGCTCAGGTCAGGATTTGCTGGTAGCTGGGCAGAAAAACATCAACAGGGCTTTCCCCCCCCCCCTCCACCTCCTTTGGAAAGAAAAGGTAAGAAAATGTTTTTAACGTGCTGCATGCAGGCAGGTTGCAGGAGCCGTGGTCCCCGGCACGGCTCAGCAAGCACTGCCGGGGAAATCAACAGGGAACGTTCCTGATGCTATTTTAGACATCGGCAGAAAACGCCAGATAGCAACACCGAGTTCGACGGGGCTGCACAAACCCCGGAGCGGCGGCGGCGGCGGCACGGAACGCAGGGACCCGCTCCCGCCGATGTGTGGGTTGTCAGTCGATTTGTTGATGAGCTTGCTAACCACGACGTTGCTTTGACATGTCAGCTGGCGAGCCGGCGTCTGGATGCCTCGGTGTCATGCAGGCAGCTCCGTCTGAGCCCTGCGGAGAGCAGCTTAGATCCGCTGGCCGGGGTTGAAAATGAGCCGCAGTTAAGCTGCTGAAAGGGATCCGCGCTGCCGCCAACGTGAGTGCTCCGCGCCTGCCAGCGCAGGTGGAAGTGCATGCCTGTCTCCAAGGGGGGATGCAGCTCTCGCCGGGTGACTGCCGGCTCCATCGGGAGCGTCCTGGCTTGCTTGCCCGGGAGAGGATGGAAAGAGGGCATTTTAAGGGATTGATGCAGCCAGTGGTGCTGCTGAAGGCAGAGTGTGAGATTAAAGGCGGTATCTGAGCATAAAGATACCGCAACCTGATTTAGGAATAATGAATATAGCAGGGCTGGCTGCTGCAGGAAATGTCCCCTTTGTAAGTCGGGCTGTTTGGAGCAAAAAAGAGCAATTATGTGGATTCTGCTGCAGCTCATTGTGGTCGGGTTAATTTGGGAAAAGATTGCTTGCTGGCAGCTAAAGGAGGCAGCCTGGCAGAAGGGTTAAAATGTGCAATTATCAGACCAGGCTGGGCTTTGAAATGGTACAATAATCCCAAGGCAGGGGAATATTGTTTGGTATAATTTGTCTTCTGAAATAGTCGGGAGCAGGAAAATCTTAACTTAGAGGGCTACTCTTAATAATTTTTTTTTTTTAATTTTAAAAATATTTTCAAAGACAGACCCTGTTTTGCAAAGCCCTGACACCATAATGACAGGCACTGCTGATACCAGCTATCCTGCCTGCCATCTGAATGCCAGGCCTTCCCAGAAATGCTGCTTGTGAAAGATCCGTCACAGGGAAGTTTTTAACACCCCGGTTTTGTGTGTGGGTGCGAAAGCACATCTGTGTTTGGGGAGAAGAGACATGAACTGCTCATTGTACCCCAAACTTGGCTGTGCAGCCAAGGAATTACTGTAGCTGTGATGATGAGTGTTAGGCAGGGCTGTGCTTTTAAAAGGACAGCCTGGCTGGGTTCAAACGTGGTGTCCCCTCCTGGAGCTTTCAGCGCTCATGGTCTTGGGCATCTCATAGATAAAACTGGTGCCTGTTCCTCAAAAGCTGGTGTCAAATGCCTGGTGCTCTGATAGGACCTCCTGCATGGACACAGCAAGGACACAAGGTCTGAGTTGATTCATAGCTCCAGCTGGGGTGGCATAGTGAAAATGCCATGGAGGGCGACTTGGCAGGGTTGATTTGGACAGGATGGGGATTGGAAAGGAGGGCAAATAGCAGTGAATCTTCGTGGAGAGAAGGTGACCAGGGATCAAAAGGGAGAGATGGCATTGGTGTGTGCTGGGACAGGTCTGGGATGTGAAGGGGACAAGGGTTTGCGATGGCAGGGAGTGCTTCCTGTACTAACCCATCACTGTGTGTACTTGTCAGCAATGCACAAAGCCACAAATGAGAGATATTGTACGTTTGCAAGAAAAGGGGAATATGCTCCTTCCTCATTTCTCTACTAAAGTTTACATTGCAAACTGTGCCTCAGCTCTCCTTCCAGAGGAAAAAGAGCAGTTGCTGTGAAGGCTTATTTTTTAAAAAGCAGTAGCACAAGGAACTTAAAGCACAACCTTCCTCTGACATAACCTTACTCTGATCTCATTCCCAGTGGCTGCTTCAGGACTGACCAGAACGAAACCATTCAGCAGTGTAAGAGCTCATCCTCTGCAGAAGCAGCAGCCTACCTTGGAGGGCTACTTCATTTTCATTCATTAAATTTACTGTTTGTATTATTTTGTTTAATGCTGTTGAGGAAAAAGGGTCCTCTCTGCTGAGCATTCCTATTAAAACACGCCTATTAAACCTCACCCCACGAAATCACAGGGGCTGGCTGGTGCTAGTGGCAGTCCTGCTGGAAGGTTACAGGAACCAAGCACAGACCAATGTTGCTGTTGTCAAAGGCCAGGGGTCTGCTGCTATGAGAGCAAGTACAATGAGGGAGGGAGGTTTTACAGCTTTCTAGCTGGCAGGAGATGTTCCAGATGTCTTTTTCCTTTGCCCTTCATCTAATGTGAAAAAGGAGATGGAGTAAAGGCTGTCCCTTCATGGCTTGGGGCTTGTTGACAGCTTTTCAGGCAGAGGTTGGGAGGAACCAGTTAACACCTGGGTATTCCTGTAATTTAGTTCTTCCAGCAACTAATGCTGGTTCGTGATCTGTGTTTTCAGAAACCTCTCCATCCACCTCTGAAGCATGGTCACTGTTTTGCTTGGCAGGGATCAGAATCCTGGTTATCACTTGCTATTGACATGGGCATAGCATTTTATTCTTTCCACCTTCCCTCCATGAAAAGATGAAGCCCCACCAGCAAACTGATCCAGACTGCTCTGTTCTCCTGGGGTGACATCACACGGTGCCTTTCTCTGCCATGGAGCCCTGTGTCAGTGCAAGCTGCACTGAGAACATGGACCCAGACCCAAAACTGGGTGAGGACAAGGGCCTCCAACACCCCACAGCAAGGGGAATTGTATCACATGCACAGCAAACACTTTGCCAGTGGCTGCACCATATACTGAAGCAACTCCACAGCCTGCAGCCCTGATACAAAACCACTGACCTGAACAGCAGCCAGATCATTTTTCTTATGAGAATGCACCATTCTTGAGCAATTTTTCCAGCACATCCCACGCAAACAGGTTTCCTGTGAACACTGCACGGCAGCATTTACCATCTCATGCCAGCTCTTGTTTTTCCCTAATGGCAGGGGTTGGGAGGGCTCTCACGTAACACTGGTGTGTCAGTGCTGGTGGGCACAGAATCTGAGGGGTATCCTCATTGAAAATCGAGCACTGAACCATTTCATGTCACCAGTTCTTCTGAAGACAAAATTACAGGATGGTTTGGGTTGGAAGGGATCTTAAAGATCATCTATTTCCAACCTTAAGTTAGACAAGGTCACACCTTTCTGCAGAAATCTGAGATCCTGGACCTTGCACATACATACTAGTCTAATAACACATTCTTCATCTTATCACTGCAACAGCTTTTCCAGGAAGGGCCCGTTCACTCATCCCAGCTGGCATGCAGGGGGTTGCAGAAGCAGTGTTGATCCCTTAACACTGACACTAACTCCAGTTGTTTGGGATATTATGCTAAATTAGCTGATATTCTTGGTGGTAAAAAGGAAATGTGGAGGGAAATGGAGAGTGTCTGTAGAGTCTCATTTATGGCCCAGTGCATTTTGTGCCCACTCTGACCTGGAGTTTAAGCTACTGTGGAAGCAAGGAGATTTTAAGGCATTTTTTTGGCCCAATTTATCAACTTCCATTGCACAACAGCACCTCGGGGCAGCCAGGGTGTATCACCAGATACATTAACTGGGCTTCTTAGTGGTGAGTGATGGCCATGTGCTATTTGTTCATAACTAAGAAAAAGAAATGGCCAAAATCCCTCTCTTCCCACATGGCAGAGATAGAGGGATGTTTCTACAGGAGCAGCTCTGCTCCTTGGCAGCCACTACTTTTTGATCCAAGCTTGCAATCTCCTCATGTCCCTCATTTCTGTATGCAGGAGGGAGGAGGAAGCAAAAGCAGCTGTGCTTCTACTTGTCTGGCCCTGGTACCCCATACACTGATCTGATGGGAAGACCAGGGCAAAAAAAGGTATTTATTCAAGATGATATAATTAACATTTCCCATATTGACTCATTTGGTAAGAGACTGATACTCTATTTCTCCCTTGATCACACTGAAAAGTCCATTAATTTTGAGCTGCCAAAAAAGAATTCGGGGATATAAAATTTGACCCTCAAGCAAAAAAAAAAAAAAAGAAAAAAAAAAGAAAAAGAGCAGAAATTGAGTATTTTCCTTTATTTGTAATGCAATGCACTAAATAATGTTCAGCAGTGGCAAATGCCCAGGGAAAAGCATTTTATCATATAATTTTACAAGGGAGAGAAGAAGCAAACCCAATAGTTATGGACTCAGTGGATAGAGTGGATTGAGCCCTGTCCCTGTGCAGTACTGGAGTCAGTCTGATCAACCTCCCATGTCTCTTGCACTTGTCCTGTCAGACCTATCTGAGGGTATTTGAGGTGATTCTTACCTAATTGTCAGGCACAGAAGCAACTTCTGTCTGGTATCACGACTGTGCCGTCAGCTGTGAGCTTCTGGGTTTGATTCCTGTGTTCACAAACTTCAAGCAAGTACCTGTTGGGAGAGGGAGAGAATGAGCTGGGTGGTAAGTTAGGTTCTTCTTGCCATTGTCAGAGGATTCAGTGTGGTTTGGAAGAGAGGCAAGAGACTTTAGAAAAACAATTCTCATATACACAAGTCTACAGAGAAAGCAACAATCAGCACACAAAGAAAAACACAGCAACTTTAGCAGCCTACAAAATTCACAGCAATGGTGCTGCGCAGGGGGAGTTTGGCATATGTGAAAAAGTTCAGTGGCCCCAAGAGTGAAAAAACATGCACAGCTGGCAGTATATTATGCAGTTCTCATCAGAGCATCCAAATTCCCCCTCAGTGAGCTGCGCTACACTGCAGAGCAGTCTGTAATCGGGAAGCTTGGCAGTGATGGCAGAGATGTTCCTGGCATCCATTTTGACCAGTCCATTGTGAAGCCGGGTCTGCAGAGCCTCTCTGGGTACCAGAGAGAACAGAGGCCTCTCCTGCAACTGGGCAAGAGCTGTGGCTGTCCACACATTGGACAGGATCCACTTCAGCCCCCGGCACAAAGCCCTGGGAGCAATGGAGCTGGGGCCACGTTGCCTCTTTGTACCGAGTCTGGGCAGACACATCCAGGTCACTCACTCCAGACAGCATTCATGACCTGTGTCTTTGCTGTTTTTCAGTCGCCCAGAGGGGAGCTCAGAGCCTTGGCAGCAGCCGTGTCACAGTCCCCAGAGTCCCTGGGCTGTCCTGCCTGCTGAAGCACGGCTGGAGCGTGTGGCAGCTCAGGAACTTGGGAAGAGGCCACCACGTCCAGCTTGGATGTGATGTGCCTCACCCCACGGTGCCTTTTGGGTTCATTTAGGCACTCAGCTTATTCTTCAATGGCTGAAGGGAGATCCAAGAACAGGATTTAGCTGTGGCTCACCCTCCCTTTTCCCTCCTCTATCCTCTAGAAAGAATAAATGCTAAAGAGAATGAAGGTCATCCACGGCCAAGGCAAGTCCACACTAATCCCTCTCTGGAGTCTTGGCCGAGTCCAGCTTTTAAGTCCTGGGAAGTATTAGCAAATGGATAATAGAACAGGAAATGCCAGATTTTGGTAGCTGTGAAAAGGAGAGACACACACGTTACCCATGCCATAGAGATAAAGGAGAGGGTTTCCCTCTCCTCTCAGGCTATGGATGCTAGAACTGAATGGACAGGGTGTCCAAACTGGGTGAAAAAAGACTGTGCCACTCTTCTTGTGGGGCTTACAGGAAGGGGCCACACTGGGAAAAAGCCAATGGCTTGAGGATGACTTTCATACTTGGTGCCTACCCCTTGTGCTTGCTTCCATGGAATTTTCAGTAGCTCCCCTTGCAGGCATTTGAGAGGGAAAGAAAACATGTCTGGCAGCCCATTGCTCTTGCAGATCTTCCCTTTCATTTCTGAGCCCAGCTCAAAAAGGACTTTTCTCAGCCATCCTGGAAAAGGAACTGAAAGTGCATGATCAGCTGAAAAAGCAAGCTCAAGCAGCTGCAAGCAAACCTGACACTTTCTGCAACATCCAAGAGTCCAGAAACTTTGTTTGCTTTGTTTCTAACAACTGATCAATTGAAACCAATCGATGAAATGCTGGGGGCTGGCACATTCCTGCCTCCACCCCATGGGCTCTGCCTGATCCTGATCCCAACAGCAGCCCAGAGCTGGCTCCCATGCAAATGCACACACAAGTACAGATCCTCCAGTGACACCTGATCCTCCAGGATATCTCATGGGTGTCTAATTATTATCTAAAGCCCAGCCTGGATAAAACAGAGTTTTTGATATCCCTTTTCTCCCAAATCTTTTACCTAAATCTTCTCAAAACACAGTGGGCAACATTATGGTTTATCTGCCATGCAGGCAACTGCTCCTGCTCTCCTTCAAAGCCCATGAATTGTGGCTGCAGTTAAACCTTGTAGAATTTTTCAAGCCCAGCTTCTCCAGCCCTGCAGGTAAATCTCTTGCATATCTCTTCCTTCATCTGTTACTGAAGCACTTCTCCTGGGCCCTGATCACACCTCAGTCTTACCCATTCACAATACCACCATGGAGATTTTTCTCCTAACCTTTCTCTTTTGTCCTGTTTCTCAGGCTGTACCCCTTCATGGGTTAATCCCTTCCAATGACACCAAACTCAGGTCTTTGCTGTCAATGCCCTGTGACTTCTCTGTCCATAGCCCTTCCCACCAACAACCAGCCCACAATGGTGGCCAACCTCCTTTCTCTCATGTCTTTGGAAGTGCTCCTCAAAAAACCTCCAAAAATCAGTCTCTGGTAGAAACCCATCTTTGCTCCCAGTATCTACATACTGGTCATGTTGCCACACAACACATTGGCAAATATCACTTTCCTTCTCCATGTTCCCATTTGTCTGAGCCACCCATTTTCCTATGTCCTAATCTTGGAATAGCAAGAGTGAGGATTTGTTGCGTAGCACAGCTCAGCCCAGCTGCAGCTTCTTGTCCTATGGCAACAAGAACCAGGAATAATAACAGCAAGGTGGTGACTCATTAAAACCAATAACCTCAATAATTAGACTTAACTTTTCCAATTGTATAAACAGCTGAGAAAAAAAAAAATAGAGTCTTATGCTTTACCAATATTTTTCCTTCTTCCAGTTTCCCACACAGAAATTGTCTGTATTGGCACTTGTCACAGTCAAATTTCCTCTCTCTCCACACAACAGTAAATTCATGGAGTGAACTGAAGTGTTTGCTTTGTTCATACTCTGTGAGTGCTGAAGACTCTCCAGCATCTCTTTTCTCTGAGCAAGGAGGAAACCAGCTGCAGCCCTGCCTTGGTGCCAACATTGTTCCAGCTGCTGTTGCTATAGGAAAAAAACCAAAGGCAGAACTGTCCAAGTTTCGAGTTCCTGAAAAAATCTGTTTAAGTCAGCAGGGATAGAAACTGGATGCAAATTTCTCTCCAGATCTGATGATCAGTGGGTGCCATCTACCACTTCATTCAGCTGCTGCTGGTTGAAGCTGCATCCTGGTACAGCCTCTTTGCTCCCCCTGTGATCTGCCCCTCTTAACACTTCCCTGCCCATTGCCAGAGGCAGAGAAAGAGGCTTGGACCAAGGAAAAAGCTGACCATGGGATTAACAGAGGGTGTCTGTGGGACAAGGAGCCATCAAAGTAGGACAGAACTCAGAGAGCACTGCAGAGAAAGGTAGCCTGGGGGCAAAACACTGGGACAAGACAGCTGGTGAGATAAGAAGCAATCAGGCTGGCAGGGGGTGGGAGAGACGAGGCAAGGGACCAGGGAGGAAGACCTGAGAGGACTGAGATGAAAAGGCAATGAAGAGACCAAACTGCTAAGAGAGGTAGGCATCATCCCTGAGCAGAGCCTCACACTCCACTCCTCTTTCTCAGTCCTTGTCCCTGCATTTTGGGCACACCAGAACTTTGTGTTTAACTTTGTCTTTCTTTAATTTCAAAAAGGACCTCGGTCCCCTGTAGCTGGTGTGGCTGCAGAACCAGCACTGCCCTGGAAACGGCTGCTCTGACCCCACCAGGGCAACTGCCCTGCTGCCAGCATTGAGGGAACCTTAGTATGGATCAGACCTCAGGAACCTGAGTGCCAAACCTGCCCTACAGACCTCACCCCCCTCCCAAAAGAAGCACACCAGTGAGTACAATAATATGGAGTTAAAAATGGAAAGTGCTTTTGGAGAGAGATCAGCTGCTTTGTGAGGCAGCTGTATGTTCTGGAGCTCCTTTTGATGTAAATGTGTGAAATTACACATTTATTGCAGGATTCAAATGTAGCCATGGCAACATGATTATCAAACAGTTTCATATGGAAGTGTAAATCCATACAGGTTTCTGGCTGGCGAGATTAAACTGCCCAGAGACAGAGCTCAATGTATTCCAAGCTCAGACCCTCTGTGCCCAAAAGGATTCATCTCTGGCTTCTGTGCTTGGGAAAAATTCCATTTCTTTGCAAGCAAATTGGCTCCACTCAAGTGGGCCAACCACCAAACAGATGGAGGAGAGCACTAAACAGGCAGCACCAGGTACTCCCCTGCACACTGCTGTACGAGGTGACCCTGTCCTGAAGGCTGATTTGGACAAACTCCTCTGCTCAGCCTTGCAAGGGCCAGGGACATTTCAGCCAGTAGCTGTGTCTGCAGAGCAGGTTTCAGTTACACCTCGAGCATCATCAGGCTATATTCATAGAGTCCCTGGGCACAAAAACAGGCTGGGCAGCCAAAGACACCCCCTCACCTCATGTGACAGTGATCTGGTGACATGGTGACATCTGAAGAGGGGACAGCAAAGCTCGCATGTGTACTGGCTGCAAGTAGGAAAGGGCTGTGCCCTTATAGCCTCAAAACCGTGACCTTGACAGCCATTCCTTGGAAACAGGGCTCATCCATTAATTTTCCATAGCTGTCAGTTCCAGGCTGAGCCACAGTGTCACAGCCAAGGAAAGTCAGGCAGTCTCCTCCCCTGGATATGCAGCAGGCTCTGACACCTCATGTAACAGTGTCTGTACATAGACTGGGCTCAGCTCAGGGACCTTGTGTGTCTGGAGTGATAAGTGATGAGTATCACAGGTGGACTGTGAAACAAGGGAAAAGAAAAAGAAAAAGAAAAAGAAAAAGAAAAAGAAAAAGAAAAAGAAAAAGAAAAAGAAAAAGAAAAAGAAAGAAAAAAGGAACATGCACGCCAGCACGGAAACAGACTGGTGGGAAGGAAATAGAGGTTTTAAATAGGCACTAAAAGATTGGCAGAATTTGGCTGTAAATGAAAACACAGTAGTGGAAGGGCAGAACTTTGTAATTGTTTTGCTTTTTTTTTTTTTTTCCAGAGCCTTGATGAGGCTCTTTCACTGAGAAACACAAAAGTAGGGCACAGTCCTGCAGCAGGCGCCCAGGGTATCCACAGTCCTGAGGTTTGGGGATCTGCAGCAGGAGCCCTGGCATCCATCTGGAACCAGTGGAAAAGCAGGTTATCTCCACAACAACGTGGTGAGCAGCTTCATGGGACACCTAAAGCATCTGATGGCAATGCTCCCAAGCCATCAAGTAAAAATTCACAGGATGGCTTCTCAGTAGGATGTTTCTATAGTTAATTAACCTCTGGTCCTGATTTTCAGCAGGAACATCTCATGTTTTCATCTCCAGCAAATGGCTCTAATAGATTTGACAGCCTGCTTTCAACTGGCACCCTCTTCTCCTGCAGGTATTTCTGGGCAAAATCCCTTCTCACCTTCCCTACTGCAGTGTAAACATCCTGGAGCTCCACCACACTCCTGTTTCCAAACCTGTGAAGTCCCAGACGGTCCATCAACCATCCTCCTCAGTTTTGTTCTCTGCATTGTGAGACTTTCTAGCAGAACCTCCTTACCTTTTCTTGGGGACTTTTTTAATAGTGATGTTTCACAGAGGATTTTTGGGTTGGGAAAAAATATAGGCTCTTGGCACTAAACACAGACCCTTCTCAGTAAACATGAGGCCCTTGATTTTAAAAGTGACAAACCTTGCTTTTTAATTTAAAAAAAGATTAATTTTCCCAAGCCTATTTAGAAAATAAAGAAAAACTATTGCTGTGCTAATTGCTATTACCAAATGATTTTCACATAATCTCCCACCTGTGGCCACACAGATACAGGTCATGCAAATGGACTTGGCATTCCAGGCTGCAGCAGATCAAGTATCAGGTTTCTGGCTAACCATGAATTATCACAAAAAAAATAAAGGCATCCCAGCCCTGTCGTTAATTCTGCCTGAGTACCATGACTTGGGAGTGCTGCTGTGCTGTGCTGCCATGGCATCTGCTCCCCAAATTTGGCCTCTGCTCCTTGAGAGAATGAACCAAACCTCCCTAAGAGGGGAGGTGAAGTTGTTGCCCACACCTCCTCATTCCCCTCGCTGCAGTGCTCTCATCTCTTTGCTATATTAGCATTCTGGAGAGCACTAATGGGTGTGAAGTGGCTAAAAGCCATTTTCTTTATTGCTGGATTAGTGCTGGAAGGGTATGAAACTGCCGGCGCTCGGCTGCAGCACGTCAGAGCTTTCTGCTCCAAGCAGACACGAGCGCTCAGAGCCCCGGCCCTCCTCACACAGCCCAGCTCACTGCTTTTATGAATGGAGTTAAAAACAACACACGCCGTGAAACTGTTGCTCAGAAGCTTTTTTTTCTTCCTGGTGTCCTGACTGCTCCGGCCAATACAAGCCCCAGTGCTCCGGAGCAGTGCACAGCCATGAAAACAAGGAAGTGGGCAGAAAAAGCAAAGCACAGGTTCCCTATCTGTTCCCTGCCTGCCTTTAGTTGAGCAATTATACAGCTCCAGATCTGTGATTATTCCTGGCAAGGTTTGTTCATCTCATGGGAGACTTTTGGAACAACATAGTGCTTTTGTAGGGAGTGTCAACCACCAGGCGAACGTGTCTTCCAGATCAGATTTTTTTTTAAATATGTAAGTAATTGTTTCTTTACAGATTGGTCTTTGCCTTTTAATGACTCACATTTCTACCTTGTCAGCTTTCAGCACGGGCCCTGCCCTCCCTCCCAGTGCTACAATCCTCCCAGATCTCACCCACAGTGCCAGGTCACACCAGGTGAAATCCTGAAGGATGAGAATCCATTTTGTCGGTGCCCTGTCCAGATGTTCTGCTTACAGGGGCTGCTTTTTTGGGGGCTGCAGAAACTACAGGCACAGCAGTCAGAATGCATAAAACCGATGTACAAACCTGCCTCTAAAACACTGAAGTAGGGGTTTGTGTGTGGTTTATTTTTTGGACAAACCCAGACGCATTTTCATGGCAATGGTGACAGATTCTCATCCCCAGCCCTGCTGCTGTGCCAGGAGTCTCATTCCCACTCTGGCCTCCTGAAGTGCAAACATGCTCTTGAAAATAAAGAGGGAGAATGCTTAAACATCCCTAAAACTAAATAATTAGCTTTAAGCTCAGTGCAATATAACTGCACCTTTTTAAGAGGTTTTTTTTTTTTGTTTTTTTTTGGTTTTTTTTGTTTGTTTGGTTTTTTTTTCTGAAGCTTTTCCCCCTTCACTGCTCTCTGAAAATGTATTCAACATGAGGCAGGGAGCAATTATGGAAAATTTCAGGCTGGATGGTTAAGCATGGCCAACTTGTAAAGTAATTGGAAACGCAGAAAGAAAATGTTTGGCAACACGGGATAAAAGGTGCTGTGTAAGTGGAGGATTTTTTCTTATTGCAAACTGTCCTCTCTGATATGTTAATTGTGTTTGGCCTGATCCCTTGACAGTCCATTAATTTGTTGTCCAATTGCAGGCTGCTGAGAGCAGATAAATTTCAGCCTATTATGGGAACACCCTAGAAGTTTGTATAGAAAGGAAACTCTCTGTTTCCTGTATCATCCTTCTGGGGATCTTGAAAGAGTTCACAAAAGCCACTTAAGCAAACTTTCTTTGCTGGATAACGGAAGGAAAGGAAGCTGTGAACAAGCAAACAACACTCAATTCCATGAGACAAGAGATACTGGTAGGTCATTTGAGAGAAAGTAAAGTCTGTGAATGAAATGCACACACACACACGCAGAAGATATTCTGTACTTTGAAAATAATAGGTATTTCTGCACCCCTGCACTCTTTCTGATTAAAAACAATGTAAATTCTGCAAACCACCATTAAGACAGGAGGTGTAACATCCATCCCTGCAAGGCATGAAATGTATGGAGGGTTTTTGTGGTTCAAATAATACATCTCAGGATGAGTTGGAGATGGTCATGTATCAGGTGAACAGCTTCTCTTTCTTTCTTTCTTTCTTTCTTTCTTTCTTTCTTTTCTCTTTCTTTCTTTTCTTTTTCTTTCTTTCTTTCTCTCTTTCTCTCTCTCTTTCTGTTATTAACAGTGCAGCTGCCAGAGCTCTGCTACAACCAGCTCTGTGTTGTTTGTCACCCACAGATAAAAAGCAAAGGTCTGAAGAGCTCTAAGTTTCCCCGGGGCTGGCTTCAAGTGCAAAATTCAGACAGAGCTCAGGGAGCTGGGGCAAAACTCAGATTCAAGCAATCTAAACTCAGCCTTCAAGCCCTGGAAATATTGGGGGGTTCCAATTTATAGGCTTGTCCCTGTCTCTGAATTTTACACCAGTAATCTAAGGAGGTAAGTTTGATCCAACAGTGCAGTGTGTCCCTTTTCCTGAGAAATTTTAAATATCTTGGTGTCAGCTGCATTTCAGAGGGAGATCAAAACACAGAGAGGATGAAATGCTGTAAGTTTGTTAAAATAAGCTCTTAGTGGAGGAGATTTGTAGCTCATCTGAAATATGGGGTTTGTGGTATTTGATGTGAGTAAATCCATGTGTTAGAGAGACTCTGTATCTATTCAAACCACAGGAAAACAGGTTCAAGTTTGCAGTCAACAACAAGGCATGGTCCTTCAAGAAGAAATGGTTTGGGAGAATACTTGGTTAGCAGGAAACTACCTGGGCAGTGACTGAAAAATTTTTAAAGGCATTTAGGAAATCAATTCATCAATTGTGAGAACATTTTTCTTCTAGCAGATTCTGCAACATATGCCTATGGTCTGACCAAAACCACTAATGGTAGGGCGGGGTGGGGGGCGGCGGGGAAGGAAAAAGAGCAAGGAAAATATATTAGTATTTGCCAGCTGGAAAAAAGAAAGGTTTTGTTAAAATTTGGGGCAATCCATTCAGGTCAGTTCTTGTTTAATTGGGTCTGGGAAAGGCCTTTTCTGGCAGAAATATAGCTGATTACTTGACAGGAAAAATCTAAACTCCTCAAAAACATTTCTCCTAGTCTCTTCTCAAAGTTATCCACAGGAACACTACCTCCCTGGGGAGCTTGTTAAACCTCCCAAATAACCTCATTGCTAGGAACTTTCTCTCAGTTTTACAAACTTTTTTATCTTCAGCTGTAACCTCTTGAGTCTGCTCTCCAGGTTTCAAATGATCTCCATTCAAATTATCTGTTGTCCTTCTGTGCTCTGGCCCAGGTGAGGGCCAACACATCCCTGTGGAGAGCATCCATATGCCCAGTGTAACTGCACCACCAGTCCAAAGAAATGGGCTGGAACCCATTCAAGGAGAAAAGTTCTTTATTCCTATTCTGACAGTAATACAAAACTTTTGGTCCTACCAAAGCAGCCTTGAGTCTTTGAGGTGCTTAAGTCAAGAGCTTAGTTGCCAGGCTCCTGATATAAATAAGGAAAGAAGCTGCTGAACTGATAGGATTGTCTAAGGAAGAAGAGCAGCAGGAAAGCTCAATTCCATCCTAATCTTCCTGGGCTCTGCTGTTGGCACAGTGTTCATGCACATAGGCCACCTTCACGTCCCCCTTCAGCAGGTTGTGTTGTAGCTCTTGGAAGGTCTGGGAAGTGTTTGAGGGAAAATTATGAAATTGCTTGAGGAGAAACTGGAAAATGAAGCTGTTTTTATAGGAGTCAGAAATGAGAACTGGAGGCTGATTTGTTCTGTGAAAGGGCCTGACCATGACCTGCCAACCTTGGCAGGCTCACACAAGGTAGGACCGTGGCATGGGTCAATGTGTGCAGTTTCTTCAACAGAAAATTATACTTCTTTTTTTTTAGGGTTTCTTATCAAATAAATTAGATTAACTGATTCATCCCAAGACTAAACTCTTACAATTCCTTAGGCAGAGTTCTGGGGTTCCACAGTGTATTGCCATGTATTTATTCCCACAAAAATGTCTGCAAGTTGCATGACCTATCCCACATTCCAGAAGTCTTCTATCCAGTGCAGTCATTTAAGGAGAGCACTGTATTTGTGGGGGTCCTCGTAAGGGCCCCTACAGAGTTCAAGCAGTGCCTGGACAATGTGATAAGGTTTAGTTTTAGGTTCTGCAAGGAGCAGGCAGTTGGAGTAAATTACCCTTACGGGTCCTTTCCAAACTGAGATATTCTATGATTCTATAGATCACGAGGAGATGAAAAGGAAAGGAAAAGTTACTCCTTTTCAGAGTAAGTGGTTTTAAAATCATTGAGGTTGACAAGCCACACGAGAGCCCAAGAACAGTGGTGGGAAGTATCCACATTGTACTTCAGGTAGAGGGACTTTCACAAGTCCAACACTGCCTGAAAATCAATGACTGGGGTGACATTCAGGTCTAGCAAAAGGGAAAAAGTACTAAACACGATTAACTCAAAACAATTTTTTTGAGTTAATTCCAAAAATTGTGAATGCTTCAGTCTACACTCGGCTTTTAGGAGCAGCAGTTGGGGGTGGGGGGGAAATGATTAAAAGAATCCTAAAAAAATCCCAGTATTTTGTAGGGGATTTCCACTCCAATCAACTTTGGCATTTTTTCCTCAAAATTTAAAATTACTTTAATAATAAATACTTTAGGGCCTGCAGCTGTTTGGTTCTCTGGTTGTGTTTGGAAATTCAAGCAATTAGAATAAAAAGTATTCACCCAATTTGGTTTCTCAGTCACAACTAAAACAGCCTGCTTGGGGTTATTCTTGAAACTTGGGTTGCTTAAGTAATTTAAATAGATTTCTATTTCAGAAACAACACAAGAGCCAACAATTTCACAACTAAAAGCTCGAGGGCTACAAAACTTGGCTTCACCTAAGACTCTTAACATTGTTTTTCATTATCTTAATCACTAGGTTCTTTACATACTAATTTTCCATCCCGTTGCCAACGAGTGCCAATCCAACTTGCTTTTCCATCACCCAGGTGAGTGTTACTCATGTTTTCATGGAAATGTGAAAACACTCTGAATACAGTCAGCACAACAGTGTCCATTTTTGCAACTGCTCATTGGCTTCTGCTAACACTGAGTCACATCTGCAGAAGTCACTAACACGGGTGTAGCTTCTGAGCTCTTTTCTAGGATTTTCCAAAATTATGGAGAATGTTGATGGTTATCCAGATGCAGTTTTGATGACACAGGGCTAAACAATTTGTTTATGCAGGGACCCAAAATATTGCAAATACCAATTAGGTATGTGACTGATTAAGCAAGGGGAGAGATGAGATAAATCACAGCACGTGGTTCTAACAGGCCTTAGCAGAGCAGAGAGCAAAGTGAATCCTCCAGGAAGGCTACAGAGGATTCAGGTCCCACCTGGTGATCAAAACAGTGCCCAGTAACACCTGCACAGTTTGAATCCAGCTGGAGCCACAAGGCTGCAAAACAAACAGGCAGTGTGAACAGGGATAAATGCTCAGTTAACTAAAGGTCATCACTTAGTGTCTAGAGCTATAAACTAAGCATTTGTGTGGTAATCAGGTAAGAAATGATATTTTCTTCTCTCTGGCTTAGCTCAATTGTCTATCATCTATTAATTAATCCATGAAATGTGTTATAATGAGAAAGCATTAAGTAACCAAGAACTACAGAATGGTTTGTGTTGGAAGGGACCTTGAAGCCGATCTCATTCCAATCCCCCTGCCACAGGCAGGGACACCTTCCACTATCCCAGCTTGCTCCAATCTCCATCCATCCTGGTCTTGAACACTTCTAGGGATGGGGCTTCCACAGCTTCTCTGGGTAACTCATGTCAGTGCTTCACTACCCTCTGCGTAAAGAATTTCTTCTTAATATCTAATCTTAAGTGTCCCCCTTTTTAGTTTAAAACTGTTCCCCCTCGTTTTATCACTTTCTGGCTGTATAAAAAGTCCCTCTCCATCTTTTTTATAAGCTTCCATTAAGTACTGAAAGGCCACAAGATCTGAGGTGAAACTTCAGAAAATTTGGCTTTATGGGAGGCAGCAGTAGTCTGTGCAAGTAGAAGACTAACTGGTCTTTTTTTAGACATTTACCAGTGTAAACTGAAAATCCTACCAGTCAGCTTTCACCAGGGTAAGGTGAAAGTCACTTGAAAATCATCTCAGAATTAAACAGTCTCCTGTACTTCAGGCTTTGGTTCAGGATTTTGATTCTCTGCACACACAATATGATGAAAATATATACGTTTTTCAATAAAAATACAGCAACCAAAATACAAATATCCCTGTGCAGCAATGGAAACCTCATAAACATCACAGTCATGGTTTCATAAGAGGCAGCTCAGAAGGAAAACTGACTAATCTCAGCTCATTGCCCAAGTGCAGAGAAACAGAAAAGTTTCAGAAAAGTAAACAATTTAAAAAAATTAAAAGTAGAGGTTCTGATCTCTCCAAGACAAGGGAAGCAGTGATTGAACTGAATAAGCTCTGCAGTTCTTAAGTGCTGTCTAGCAGCATCTTAACTGCTCTTGGCACTTGAGGAATGAAAGCCACAGTTCTTGAAGGACTGTCACATCACCCCTTGACACCTATAAACTATTCTGAAGCTTAATTCCTCACAGTTTTATTGTGAAGATAATTATATACCACATAAACTCAAGAGGCAGGATAATTTCTGCAGCCATTAATACCAGGTTTCAGCTGTGCAAACCAGGAACATAATGACAGGGAACTCTCATTCTTCAAGGCATGAACTCATGATGAGACCTCACAAGTGGCAGAAGTAGGAAATCCCATCTTACAGCCTGTATGAGCACCTTGTAACATAACTGCTATCATGAGCTGTTTATTTTCCATATGTGGGTGATGTGAGGGAAGTTGTAGCTACTGCTTTTAGAGTCATACAATCATTTCAGTTGGAAAAGACCTTTAGGAACACAAAATCCAACCATTAACCCAGCACTGCCAAGACCACCACTGAATTATCTCCCCAAGAGTGATAGAGATCATCTCTCTTGTAGATAGTGGTAAGGTCACCTCTCAGCCTCCTTTTCTCCAGGCTGAACACTCCCTGTACCCTCAGCCACTCATCCAGACCCTTCCCTAGCTCCACTGTCCTTCTTTGGACATGCTCCAGCACCTCAATGCCCTTGCTGTTAGGGGTCCAAAACTGAACAAAGGATTTGAGGTGTGACCTCACCAATGCCCAGCACAGGGGGATTCCAGGTTTCAGTGCAGGACGAGGGCAAAGGGAACCTACACCTCCACCACCCTGTTTGCTCAGGACTGTTGACATTGCTCTGGGGTGGCATGAACCAACTGGCTCCAGATGGGTGGACTTTGGGCTGGTGGCAGAGCAAAGGGCTGAGTCACACGCTATACCTTGAGTTCTGTCGGAAGCCTTTTGGCTCTCAGAATAAGAAGTTAACTTTGGCTAACATGAGCAACCTGAATGGACCTGAAAATCTGCCTATCTGGGTGCCAGACACAAATTCACACAATCTCCTGCCCTTCTTCATAAAACCTTCTTGAGACTTGTCTGTGTCCAGATAAAATATCTTTGGTTGACTAGCCACAAGTTCACATCTGAAAAAACCAGAAGCATCCCAATGCTTTTAGGGGAAAAAAAAAAAAAAAAGTAGGCATCAAGGGACATGGACCATTTTGTACAGCCATTAAAGTTCCATTGTAATGACAGCATGTGTTGGGGGAGGGTGGGAAGAAGGATAAACAGCAGTTTCAAGTCCAGAGTCTAGGTCTCCCATTAGATATATCACCCTGGAGCTGAGTTACAGGCCAAATGTGTAAAAGTTGAGACTCATTTTTCATGTCCTGTTTATAAATGTCCTGGCTGGGAGACCTCACCTGGGTTTCTGAGTGCTCAGTGTTGCTTCAAGCACAGCCTCAGGCTTCCCAAACCCACGGCCACTCCCAATCAGGAGACACCTCAGAGAGCTGGCTGTGTCAAATATCATTAAGTCTGAAAGCAAGTCAAAACAATCCCAAGGGCTTCTGTCCATCCAGAGGGAGAATTACCTTTTTTTTTTTTTTTTTTTTTTTTTTTTTTTTCCGCTTTTTAATCGCAGCTTTGAAAGGATTTGGGAGCAGCAGTGTTCTCAGGAGGTTTGTATAATCTAGGAATCCCCTTGTTTCATATAAAGCAATTCACACTAGATCTGAACACTGGCAAACAGTCAGCTAAATCCATTATCGCATGATAATGCTCAAACATTTCATTAATTCCTAACCAGCTGTCCTCTGCTCCCTTACCCCTTTCATCATGCAAACATTTCTTTAACTGTCTAAGGGAGGGGAGAAGGGAGGATCAGCCGCAGCCTCGTAAAATTCCTTCACCCGCTTGGCCTGCGGCAAGTTATTTCTTTTGACACGCGTGTAAAATAATATTGGGGGTGGTGTTTGTTTGGCTTGGCTGGATGGTGAGTTTTCATAACAATTTGGTAAGCCAAGTACCTGTGAAATGGAGTACAGAGAACTCATGGCAGCTTGTTGATGAGCCTGCCGTCTGGTAGATTAACATCTCATTAAATAGGGAAGACCCCTTGCTCCAGCATCTATGCCAAGACACAAGGCAAGGTGTTTGGAGCAGGATGCTGCTTTCCAGTGGTTTGAGGTCCTGTAGGTTATTTCTCTTTTAAAGTCCTCGGGTACTCCATGCCAAACAAACTAGGGGAAGCGAGGGGAAGCAAGGGATCAGTACCTTGGGGGCTTCTCAAACTACGTGACTCACTGAAGTGGATACATGCACGCCAAGAGCCAGAGACAGATTTTAAGGTGACTTCTGGATGCTTTCCTTAAAAAAAGCTCCCCCTGAAGTGCCTCAAATCCCTACACGTTGCCTAGGGACTCTCCAAAGAACAGGATTCGCCACCCTGCTGAGGAGCGACCCGAGGGGAGTGCTCAGGGGCTGTCTCCAATCCTGCTCTCAACCTCAGCCCAGGGGCTTTTCTGCCAGTCCCTCTCCCAGGCAAACGTAGCACACGTCTGGACAGCACATCAGCCTCCTGACTGACACTCATTTCTCCCCTGCCAAGACATGAGAGTGCGTTTATTTATTATGGGTTAAATATTTGGAGTTGAGTAAGAACCTCAGAGGGAAAAGGTGGGTCTGTTTCCTTGGATTTTTTTTTTTCCTACCCCCTCACTCAGTAAGAAAAATCACATTTTTTAAAGTAAAATGATTTGTTTATGGAAAATTCCCCTTTCTGACTTTAGGATCAGCTAAAAGCTGAGAATTAACAACTCCAGAGTGTAAATAACATGAGGAAATACAGTGGAGAAATATCTGGACACGTCTGGACATGTCTGGACATTGCCAGAACGGGTCTAAAATGTCAGGCTGAGGTAAGGATCACACTTCACCACAACAGCAGGCAACAAAAGGACTGAAAAATAAGTACTTTAAATTTTTTTTTCAGTTATTTTGAAATGAGGTGTCAAAACATGAGGTAGCTGGGGCTGCCACAAAGGCATGGGTAACAAGAAGCACATCTTAGAAGTTGAGGTCTTTTCTTGGTGTTTTTAGGTGTGTTAGGCTCTCAGAATTTCCACTAAAGTCATTAAAGACTTTTTTCTTACCACAGAGCCATTAGACATTTCTATAAGTATAGGTATATTTCGTTTATTCTGTGGAAGAACCTTTAATGTTTTATTCATGTGTATCACAGTTTTGATACAATGGATGTTTTGCTGTCAAGAGTAGATGTTACACTGGGCTGTTATGGGTGTGTATCCTTTATCTTCACCATTTGGCTACTTAAGATAATTATTTTGCCGCTTTTTTTGTTTATAAACATCAGTAGTACGTCTTAAAAACCATCACTCTTTGAATGGACTTTGGACATCCTCACCAGAGGATGTTTAATTTAGTGAGTTGTGCATGACTGGTCATGCATGCTTTTCAGCCCTTGGTCTGAATTAGCCTAAAACCAAAAACATATTGATAACAGCATTATAGAACAAAATATTGCTCACTTTTTTTTTTTTTTTTCTTTAGGACTTGTAACAGAGTCTCTCTGTTAGATTCAAGATTCATCTTGCTTTTTAATAGATGTGTACAGTTCTTCCATTTTGCCTTCTGTGGTTTTCCTTTTCTGAAGTCTGGTATGCTTTGCGGTTTATTTATTCATGAGTTGTAGAAAAAGAAGTTCACCATTAAAAAAACTTGTTTTGGAATATATACTTAATGGTGTGTCAAGAAACAGAAAACAATTACACTTACGCAACATAACGTGCAATTTTACATGCCACTTGCAGGCTGCTTTATGTATCCCCAGTTTATGTAAGTAATGAAAATTAAATATCATGCTAGCCTGCACAATGCAGTCAGCACAATTAAAGCTAGGAGACCTTAATTGGGAATAAAAAAAACACACACCAGTACTAAAAAAACACAGTCTTTTATGGCAAGTTTGCAGAGGGTTCTTCCAATTTGGCAGGGCTATGGCTGCCATGGGGAATTAAGTGTTTTAATGTCCTGAGAGTCACTGGGGGCTGTGTGTTGAGGGTTGTGTTCTGCAGATGTGGCAAATACATAACAAATGCCACATGTCAACCTCTCCATGGTGGCCTGGCACATACCCGGTCACAAGGCTGGGCTAGACATGAGGAGAGGCAGCTCATGGTCTCGGTGGGCAGAGCAGCAGGGGATGGTGGGGAGGCAGGATGGGACCTTGACTGCAGCCAAACATAAGAAAAAGGTATTATTCTCCTTCATGACGAAGGACAATTTCAGCAGCTTGGGGCCAGCACATTTGCAGTATCTCAGGCAGAGAACAGCACCCACTCCTGCACTTTCCAAGTTGTTGGCTTGCAGCTGTACTTGGCACAACTTTGCCTGAGAGGAGCAAGGGGGTCTGTGATCTGTTTCTGTGCAAATGCCCACTACCTTGGCAGGGACAGGGCAGGTAGAGCCTCCATCCACCCTCAGGTTGCCACTCATGCTCCCTTTCCAACCAAGAGCACCTCTTCAACCCACGAGCGGTGCCAACAGGCTCATCCTTCATCCCTGGGCAGAGGGAAAAACTCCTGCTACACAAACTGTGAAATGACATGCTGGAAAGAAGCATTTTAGGAAGGAATCTGAGGGTCGTGGTTGATGGCAAGATGAATATGAGTCAGCAGTGTCCTGGCACCCAGGAGGACCAACCGTGTCCTGGGGCCATCAGGCACAACATCATCAGCTGGGCAAGGGAGGGGATTGTTCTGCTCTGCTCTGCGCTGGGGTGGCCTCACCTTGAATATTGTGTGCGGTTTTGGGTACCACAATATTAAATAGAAAGGTATTAGACAGCAACCAAAGGAGGGTAATGAAGACGGTGAAGGGCCTTGAGGAGACAAGGAATATGAGAAATGGCTGAGGACACTGGAGGAGACTGAGGGGAGACCTCGTTGCAGGGGGGAAGAGGGGCAGACACTGATCTCTTCTCTGTGGTGACCAGTGACACCACGCGAGGAAATGCCCTGATGCTGTGTTCAAGAGGTTTAGGTTGGATATTACAAAAAGGATCTTCACCCAGAGTTGGGTGCAGCTGGGCACTGGAACAGTTTCCCAGGCAAGTGGTCACAGCACCAAGCGTAGCAGAGCTCAGGGTGTGTTTGGACAGCTCTCACAGGCACGAGAGTTTGTTTGGATTGTTGGGGATTGTTGGGACTGTCCGGTGCAGGGCCAGGAGTTGGACTCGACTCACGAGTATTCTGCGTCACTCTGTGACACCGTCGCTCTCCAACACCGGCCCGGCCATCGCCCGCCTCAGCTCCCCTCATGTGGGCATCCCTGCGGCGGACGCCTGGGCGCCCCCGTAGCCCGCCCGCCGTCACCCAGCAACACCCCCCGCCCGTCCCCTACCCTGCCCCGAGGCCACGCCCCTCGTTACATATTCATGACAACCCGCCCACAGCCTGAGGACACCACGCCTCTTGATACATATTCATTACCCACACCTCACGTACCCCCGGGAGGCCACGCCTCTTTCGCTGCATATTCATGACCCCGGGGGCGGGAGGGGGCGGAAGCGGAAGCGGAAGCGGGTGCCGGTTCCCGAGGACCCGGTATAAAGCGGCCGCCGCTGCCCGGTGCCGCCGCGCTCGCGCCGCCGTCAGTGACCTCGTCCCTTCCCTCCTTCCCTCCCTCATCCCCCCCGCCCTCCCCGGCGCTGCCGCCTCCCCCCTCCGCCGCACGGAGCAGGTCCCGGGTGCTGGGGGAGACCCGGGGGCAGGTAAGGGGGGCGGCGGGAGCTTGGGCTGTGAGGGGTGTCTGGAGTGAGGATGGCGTGTGGAGGCGAGGGCGGCTGAGGAGCTGTGGGTGACGGGGATAAGGGTCTGGTGAAGGCGAGGAAGGGCTTGGAGTGAGAAGGTCGTGAGAGTGAGGAAGATGAGGGGCTGGTGAAGGTGAGGAAGGGTTTGGGGTGAAGCTGAGAAAGGTTTGGGGTTAGGGGCTCTTTTTGGGTGAAAGAGTTATATGGGACTGGAGAGATGAGAGGGTTGAGGAGCTTTGGGGTGTGGGTATGTGAAGTTGTGAAGATGGGAAGACAGTGAGGGTCTTGGGGATGAGGGAGATGTTGGGCTGCAGAGGTGGAAATTGGAAATGCCATGTGCTGTGGTGACAAATCGGGTCAAAGGAGATGTTGGGCTACAGAGGTTGGGAAGGGATGAGGAATGAGTAAGGTGATGTTGGAGAGACTTGTGGGGTGTCTGAAATAGCCACCTCTTTGTCATCAGAATTCATTAAGTGCCCCTTTAGGATTGTGTTGGGTGGAGACTGCACTGCAAGAGGACTTGACAAAGGGACCAAAGATGGAAATTAGTGTACCTTTTCAGACTGTTAAACTTAAGTAGCCTGCCATTTGAATAATTCCACGCTTAATCTGTCACCTGATCTCAAAGCTTTATCACAAAACAATTGTGTCTCTCCTTGCCTGATGTGATGGTGGGAGGGTACTGAGGAAAGAAATGACTTCCAACTTTGCTCTTAAACATCCATGAATGCAGCGATCATGTTATAAGTGATTTGCAACTCTTAACATGCCTTAATTTAGCACCTTTAGCAGGTGCAGAAACTCTGCTTGACCTTGAAAAATACTCTCTCCATGGGGCAGTTTTCTGTTGGAGTGCTTTGCCTTCAATATGCTCTAGGTACAGAGGGGAAAAAGGAGGGGAGGAAAAGATTTTGTCGAGGCTCTGACTTGGCACCGGGTGCAGTGAGTGAATCAATGTTTCTGGAGCCTGGCTAATTCAGGGACCTACAAATGGGAAAGCATAGGAAAGATATTGCAGGATATTGAATTGTTGGACAGAGGAGATGTTTTCTCCTTCAGGAAAAGAGATGTTACAAGAATTGAATCTACAAGGAGAGGTAGCACTAGGTACAGAGCACATCCAAATAACTGCATCATTGTGAGGATCTGTGGGAAGGAATTGCACTGTTACAGCATGTATCCTCTCTGCTCTGCAAAAACTGCTCCAGCGTGAGCTGCGTCATGTTCCACTGCTGTGATCAGACAGTGCTACTAAAATATTTAGTGAAATATGGCTTGAGCAGGTGCTTGAGCTCAAAGAGTGAGCTGGTGAATACTTTCTGCTTCCCTCCCAAGTTAGGCTTTTTTGTAAATGTCTGGCACAGGGGGGTTCCTGATGTGATTGCACTGCTGTGGCTTGTGTGACTTCTTCCCTCCTACCAGTACTGTGAAAGATAAGGTCTTCCTTGCTTGGTTTGTTTAGTGATTATAGTGGATTGATGAAATGTTCAACATGCCTAATTTTTCAGACAAGAGATTAAACTATTTACTTGACACTTTGGCTATAAATGCTTACAGAAGTGCTTTTTACTGTAAGTTTGAAAAGCTGACACTACCTTAAACTCCTAAAGGTGCATCCAGTAGTCTCTGATGCGTCCAAAAAACATCTGTGAGTTCCTGTTTATGTCAGAGGTAGTGGCAGCTGCTGTCTTGGAAGTGAGAGCTTCATTCCCATATTAATGAGATTAAATTGGATACTTAAGGGAGTTTTCATGACAAAATAACAACTTCCATGATGTAATGGGTGGGATCAGTGGAACAACTTCTATTTTAGTTAGCTATTTGTAATGTCAGAGGCTGGTTTACATGGGTTGGCTTGTGCCTCTCCGAGCAAGTAAATGATAGCAGTTCTTGTGTTCAATTATGTATGACTGAGGCATCTTCAGCAAAAGGAAAATGTGTGGTTCTACAGATAAACCCTCCTGTGTAACTGTGGGTTAACTCCTGCAGGAATCTGCTGCTCTCTGGGAGTCTGTTGCTGAGAAAGGAATGAGCAGTATCTGCTGACGTGATCTTGCTTGGATGCTGAGGGAACTGCCTGCAATCAAGGGCAATCCTCTCTCTCCAAGCTGAAATGTGCCTAAAAAAATCAGTCTGTTTTAAATACAGTTATATTGTACTGCCTTGTGCTGACAAGGGAGATTGTTTTCTGCTGGAGGTGTCCTTAGTTAGTCATGAGAAGGTGGCAGGAACACTGACTGACAGCTGGTGAACCTGCTGCTCCTTCTGTGTTGTGTTACAGCAAAACTCAAGAAGTGCAACTTTGTCCATGTGCCTTTTCAGTGGGGTGGCACAAGTGGAATATTTTCGTGGCTTCCAGTGAAGCGTGGTGTAACTCTGACTGAAACAATGCACATGCTTGTATGCCTAAGTGCATGTGACCTTAAGTTTTCACACTGAGGCTTGTTGAGCTTTCTGAAGTAACTGCCTTGATTCCTCCAGGTGGAAATCCAGGCTCTGAGAGAGCAGGCTGAAGTTGGACCTGTCTCACAGGGCTGTGACCTCCAAGGTTAATTACCTTTAAACTCACTCCAGTCCTGGCAGCTAGAAAGTTAAGACTTGGTAATATAATGTTGCTGTGCTTGTACGCTGAGACAGGAATGCATGGACTCTGCCTCTATCCCTGTATAAACTTAAATGGATCATTTATAAAAGCAAAGAGAATACTAACATTGGATGGTACCTGCAGAGTAATTCACCAGTGAGTCTGCATCTAATGATTGAAAAACTTTCTTGCAGTCAAAATATGTTGCCAACTGAGCAGCTTAGAAAAGTTGTTGAAGCTTTAGGGGTCATGAATTCCTGGGTGGGAAGATGATGGCTGGAATGACCTGCCAGGTGATGCCTGCAGTTGTGAACACAGCTGCGTGTATCACTTCAGGACTTTCAGCAGACACTGATTTAAGCTATAAACAGTTCCTTTATACAAGAGCATTTGATCTTGTGTAGCTTAGTCTGTAAACTCTGTTTGTGATGCTGCAAGTCATAAGGTGCTTATTTGAGCACCTTATGACTTGCAGCAGCAATTCCTAGAGTAGAAAGCCAGTTCCACTGGCAGAATGTGGGCACTGCTGCTTGCATGGTAGACAAAACCAGTGAAATCCTTCACATTGCTCATCACAAGGAGCTGGAGCTGGCAGTTGCTTTTGAGCTTTACTTGTGGTCTGCAACTCTTCTGCCTCTCTAACAACATAAGCCATCCTAAAATAATTTCATCAAATGATCAAGCAGTATCTGTTGAGCAACAGAGTATGTGTGCTGGTGTCATGTTTGACATAAAAACAAGCTTCACTTGCCCTTCAAACTGTCTGCAATGCTATAGGTTACTTTTAATAGTGTAAAAGCATGCTGAACAGAGGCAAAGCTCTTGAAGTTGAAATGGAGCTTCCCAGCTGATCTGCCAGGAGAGCCCTGTGGAAGTGACAAGACTGTCGTGACGGAGGAGGAAGCTTTAGCAGCTTGCAGAGTAATGAGTAATATGAAGAACTGTTTGTGCTGTGTTTTAGTTTTGCAAGGGTCACTCCCATGACCTTTATATCTCTAATACTTGCAAGATCCCAGGCTGTGACCTATTCCAACTATAGGCATAAGATTCACCAAAACGCCAACAGAACAGCTTTGTGTTCAGTTGTTTCCCTTAGAGATGGGTTAACTGATCTGATACCTGTTCTGTTGGAGCTCATGGTCCTTCAGCTTAGTGTCAGCCTTACTGAACACTTTGATTCAGCAGTAGTCCATTGACTTGGGATTACAGAGTGCAGAGAGCATTGCTTAGCTTAATACACCAGCATTAAACATGGTGTGAGTGAAACAATACTTTTCCTAAGCAGAGCATTACACCTGCCCAGTAATGGCTGTATCAAGTCCAATAAACTTTCTAGCTGTTGTGTGTTTAAGGCTCCATGAAAAACCAGAAAACAATCCAGTTGTCAAAGTTGAAGCAGAATGCTGTCAGGATGAGTGACACCATGTGTGTAGCTTGACAGCTGATGTTCCAACCTGAGAGTCACCTTTCAGACAGGAGATCCTGGGCAGCACAGAAAGCAAGCATGGAAGCAGACACTGTTAAGCTGCGGTGTTGTGAAGTAGGGACTGCGTGCTTTCAGTAAGCTGCTGCTGTCAGGTGACTTTTACGGTCAGCAGCTTATCAGTTACCCACACATCTTGCAGTTGGGTCACAGCCCTGCCCAGAGAAACTACCCAAAGCTTCCACTGGTAAACAGATAATATCCTGCATCTGGGACTGTGAGGGGCTCTGGTATCCAAGCACTGAGTAATTACTGCTCTTCTAAATAACCTGATTACTCTTTAGTGTGGTAAAGAAGCATAATATTCCTCCAAGTGAAACAAGGTACTCTGCATGAAAAAGAGCTGATTTCTTGCTATTAAATCTAGTCCTCCAGAAGAGTTGTCCAAGACTGAATTTGCCTTGAATTAAAAGCTGGGCTTTGGGCATCTCAGTGATGGGTTCAGAGCACTGCAGTGTCTGAGCCATGGAGCGGTTTGTGCCGTGACCTAACTGGCACATGGTGGCTATTAACTAAAGCCCCTTCTTGCTGGTACTTCCAACAAGTGCTGTGCAGTCATTTAGACTGCAGCTGGCATACGGCTTTGTAACAACTCGGGACAAGCAGCCAGGTTTCCTCATCAAACTTGCTCTTGGCAAGTGACTCTGGCAAGCATCAGGACACAAGGCTTTTGTTGGGTAATGACTGGGTTTGGCTTAAGAGCTGTTCCTGACCTTGGTTTGGCTCTTGCTGGGATGTATTCTGCTCAAAACGTGAATCTCAATCTATAGATGAAGGGAAGATGGTCTCTACAATGTGGACCACTACCAAAACTTAAACCCCAGTTAAAGATGGGGAAGACTTGCTTTCCAGGACTCCCATTTATGAAGACTAAAGACTATTAAACTTTAGCTT